AGAGGCACTCGACAAGTGCATGAGTCAACTCGACGAGTCAGTTATGGTTTTCCCCCGATAGCCTGGACGGGCTACAACTCGACGAGTTGACGAGACTACTCGACGAGTTGATGAGACAACTCCACGAGTTGAGATGGAGTTTTTCTGGACGATTTGAGTATCAGGAGTATCAGAAGGTGGTAAATCAGTCATAAGGATATCATTGGTACTAAGGACGGTAGAAAAAAGATGGTATCCAATCTAGTATGTATAGGAATAATTGGCAAGTTAATAGGTTCTTCAAGATATATGGAGTCACATGGGCTAGGATACTCAAGAAACAAATATGGTATATACCAACAAATCATCACTCACTTTAGCGACTTTATAATCAACAATCAAAGAACCGAATGCGGCATATAAATGAAACAATTCAGACTGAACATTGCAAGAGAGGATTCATGGATAGCTTAATGATTAACAGTTATAGCACAAACTCTAATTAAGTCTACTATGCTTTATGTTAGACAGATGAAAACGATTATGTCTAGCTTGCTATATGATTGACTTATCCAGATACATATTTATAGTGAACATGAGATACTCAAATAACGGAAACGCCAGTCAAACAATGACACCTAGGATATTACACGTGAATACAAATAACCAACTATATATGTTAACATCCACTTGGGTGTGTAGCGTAAGAAAGGAGTCCTAGAATCTAGAAACAACAAGTCTCAGATACAAAAGAAAAAACCTACGTATTGATAATATACAGACAAGAAACTTATAAAAACAAAAATAAGCCTAACAATCTTCCCTTTGTGGTTCAATCTTCACATAGGCTTGTAAGGTAAAATCCAAACTGCCAATCACCAAAAGAAAAGCATTGTACTAACTGCCAACTACCAGGAGCAAACTTTTGTTCCATCATTATTTCCTCAACATAAATAATTATAGGAATGTGGATTCTCCATAGTATACTCTCAACTGTTGAACTAGAAAAATGTTCCACGTGAATTATTCCAGAAAGTCATTTTAAAATTCAATTATGAGAATTTTGCATACCGTAGAGAACTCCCCGGTCAAGTGTTTAAATAATTTGTCCATCAACATACCTTTATTGATTATCAAGACTACCTTTGGGATGTAACTCCTCGAGTTTCAAACACTTTCACACATCATAGTTAATCTTTCCAATTGCATTGAAATATACTACCATAAATTACTTGATATAGTTAATCAGCAATTTTTGTTATCAACAAACTTTTGAACAAGACTATCAAATAAGGGAAATGATAAGGGGAAAGTACACCACATTGAAATTATAAAATTGAACATCCATTCACAACACATCAAATTCATAATCTTAAATTATGTTCTTATACATTTCTATTGGTTTATGGAAACCAATTATTTATTTCCTTCAAGCGTCTACACATCCACTTGTGGTTTTCCATTCATGAAATAATCTTATCAAAAGATTGTTATTGGGGATTCGATCCTAGTAATATCCTTTGTCCAAAATAACTGAAAAGTGAAAGCCCTTGGTGTGATAGGCATGTCCAATTGCTCATCCGGAAGCTTTATTGTAAAAAAAACTCCATGAAGGAAGATGATTAAAGAGATCTTCATCTCCAATTGCCAAATTATGGATATGGTTTCATTCCAGGCATTGTGGTGAACCTTAATATTGATACAGTTGTTTTCTTTTTGGATTTCTAGTTGATCAATTTGCCATCAAGAAATTGCTATAAGCCCGAAGCTCTTTTCCATGTAATATGAGATCCACCCAGATCTATATCTAAATACGCTTGAATCTAAAATCTAGTTTTGGCTAGATACGATAAACCCTGAGTTTGAGTCTTGTGTAGTTATCAAGAAATGTTCTATAATGCTTGCAAATTAGGTTCTCTCGGATTAGCTTGAAACCTAACATATTAAAAAAACAATGAATATCAGACTTACTTGCGGTATGATAAATTAAGGAACCAATCATACTATGATAATTGCGCATTTCCATGGGTGGTTTAACCTTACACGGACCTAATTTTGTTACAAATTCCATCGGTATTTTTGCGTCCGAACAATAAATCATACAAAATATTATCGAGAGACTTTTGATATAAGATTCTTGATTTATAAAAATAAATAAATAAATAAATAAAACTAAAAAAACTAATTGTTTCGCACCAGGCACATGGAGCATGTTTTAACCTATAAACAACTTTATCAAAAATATAACAACGATAGGGATAGTTTTTATTCATAATCCCAGGAGGTTTCTCTATGTACACTGCTGAGAAAGGCATACTTACATCCATTTTATAAATATCAAAGTTTTTGTGAGCATCATACATAATAAATATTCATAAAACTCCTAATTATGCAATTGGTAAAAAAGTATCCTCATAATGAATGCCTTTTCCTGACAGTATACTTTGACAACCAATCTTTCTTTATTCTGGATAATATTCCCTTATTTGTCAACCTATTTCGCAAAACTCACTTTAAACCAATGACACATGCATCATGAGGTTTAAGAATTAATCTCCAAACTTAATTTCTTTTAACCTCCGATATTCTAATTGGATAGCTTCGACCATTCAGAATATTGTAAAGCAACTTTGACATTCTTGGTTCAACTTTTGAGAAGAACACATGAAACATGCAATATTTTCAATAAATGTTCCTTACAACTTGATATTCTTTTTGTTGAGAATGAGTCGTCAGCCTTTGTGATGGATTATCAATGACTTGAGAAAGTGGATTATCCTTTGTCCACTTAGTTAGAGGAGGAAACATATTATCATAATCTAAGAGAGCGTTATCCACGTGCTCAATATTATATCCTTTCATATGACCATCCTTCTCTCCATAAAATTGATCATAACTTGGTTCATTTGCGCCCCCCGGAGCATCGGATGGTGTAGAATGTTCCCCTTCAACCATATCATTGGTTGATCCGTGTTCCCCATGGATTGGTGTGGATTCTGGATTAAATAAATAAGAAGAGTCTATTTCATGAATTGGAGGATTGGGAGTGGTGTGAATTTTTGATTTTATAGTTAAAAAAAATTGTACATTTTTATCAACATGATTGTCCAAAGAATTAACTTTTGAAGTTTTTGCTTTCTCTAGAGTTCCACAGAATAAATTAATATCGACATCAAAATGTATTAAGATTAAGGTTTAAATGGGTAGGGTATGGAAAAGTTTGGATCGATGAAAGTATGCTTCGCTTTTCTTCACAAAGTGATCATCAAATGTGAGATTGAACGTTACTTTAGTTTTCCTTGTTCTTTTTTTTCATTGCCTTATAACCCTTTTTAATTTTGTGAATAAGCAAGATATATGCCTTCATCGAATTTAGATTGGAATTATAAATGATTATTCTTGAAATTCATTATGAATCACCTACAAACACACACAAGGAAAAATTTGACATTAGGTTTATGATTGATAAGTACTTTATAGGGAGTGATGTTGATGAACAAAAAAACGGTTATATATGAAGCCCGTAGTTGAGATTTCTTCTATCCACAAGTAGAATGGTATTTTATTTCCAAATTCAGCATTGAGGGGTTAGCTTCACAAAGAGATCAATTTATTCTTTCAAAAACTATATTTTGTTTTGTAGTGTATGGAGCGGAAAATTTGTAACTGATTCATTTCTCCATAAGTTAAGTAGGATATTTTTTTATTTTTGAATTTTGAACCATTATCATTGAGTATACTTCCGACTGGTTTTGAAAGATGCAATTCCATTTTTTTGATAGTGTTGATGAGATCTTGTGAAGTTTCGGATTTTTTACAAAAAAAGTAGACCCATGTGAAGCTTGAAAAATTAACAGCAATAACAAGGATATACTTCTTTCCTCTATAATTTTCCTTTTTTGAAGTCCATAATGTTCAACATGGAGCAGCTAAAGTGGCTTCGTGATGTTAATCTCAATTGTAATTAAATGACTTCGTGATGTTAATATCAAAATTGGTAATCCTCTCACCAAATCTCGTGTAACTAACTAATTAATGTTCTTGAAATTTAAGTGAAAGATTCTCTAATGCTACAAACAACTTATGTCATTTACTACTTTTCAAAGAAGGCATATTGAAGTAGCACCTTTGATCATAGTGATATCCAAAGGATATATATCAGTTTTTGTTTGGACTTTAACAAAACCTCATTTGTCATTTTATTGTTGACCATACTTCCTTCCTCATCGAGAGTAATTTTATTTCCAATTCCAAAAACATGTTGAGAAATAATGATGAGATTGTGTTTTAACCCGTTAACATATACAAACGGTTTATTGTGAATTGACCATTCGTAATGGTTATGTAACCTTTGATCAATTCTTTTTTATTATTTCCAAACTTTACGACTCCTATCCACACAAGTTTCTGATAATCCCTAAGATGTTCCTTCATCGTAGTTATGTGACATAAGCAACCACTATAAATATAATTATATCGGTTATGATTATATTGCTCATCACGTAACATTTGCGATTAGAAGAATGGAGTGGAATGTAATGGGTGGGGTGGGTGGGGTGGCGTAAGGAAAGGTGGATGGGAGCAGGTATGGCGTTAGGGTTTAATTATTATATTTTTTTAATTATAATAAGCAAAACATTATTTAAAATGAGACAAAACTCAATTTGCATAGGTTGCGGATTATGGACCGATAGGCAAGTAATTGAAACATACGGACCATACTCATCCAGAAAAAAAAAAAAAATTAATTACCAAACTTCTCACTTTCTTAAAGCACGTGGGACCATTTAATCTTATTTTGTCTCGTAATTTGGAACTCAATTGCTAGCACAATGCAAGGATTTAACATTAGATCATAGTTTTGAAGTTGTTAATACCAAATAAGATTTACATCTAAATCACGGATACAATAAAATATATATTTTTTATTCAATTTTAAATATAGCAACATAAAAATAAAAAATATCACAAGATTGAAGAGTTTAAATCACTGAAAACAACATTTTTCAATCACATAAAAGTTAGAATTTAGATTGAATTTGATAGACCACGTTGACGTCAACTTGAAAAGCCTGTGCAAGGATATCTGCTGCAATATCGGGATTTGATCCGAACACAGCATTTGCAATGGTAATAACACCTGGATTTTGACTACTCAAAGCAGCAATAGCAACAGCATAGCCATTTCCCACGTTTTTCTGGAAGTGAATTAGACCTTCTGGGAACACGAAAACATCGCCTTTCTGAAGTAGTTTTGTGATGAGTCGGTTTTCAGGGTTGGATGTGACAAACCCAACTAGAATACGGCCTTCCATAACAGTCAAAATTTCAGTGGCCCGAGGGTGTGTATGTGAGGGGCAAAGTCAATACGTGCCATTGAGATACCAAGAGTGTTAAGTCCCGGCAACTCTGCTACAGTCACCGGAGTCACAGCAGACCCAACCGCATTCGAAGTATTTCCCATTAGTTGCAGTCCTCTATAAAAGAAATCATCAGCTTGTACAAGCCTTGCCTCTTTGCAAACCAAGCCATTCACAAATACTACGAGGGAAAAAATATAAATAAATAAACTATTAATCACAATTAAGTATGATATGTTTTCAAATTATGCATGAAAATGCTGGAGAGTTTCTCGACCTGTAGACATAAATTCTTACCTGTGGTATTTTGGTCTGCCACACAGAAGTCCTGAAGAGGACTAGGGTCCGAAGCAAATGCAAGGCAGCAGCCCGCTACCAAGAGACCAAATAAAAGCAAATGAGATGTCATTGTTGAGAAGGGGAAACTTGTGCTTTAATGTCTTTGTTAATTAGCTTGAGAAGTTTGTGAATAATATGCAACTTGGTGATGCTTTTATACTAAAAAACATTGGAACATATCAAGGTGGCGTATGTGTGGAAAGAGAAAAAATAAACAATGACTTAATCAAACTTGTCATCTTAAGACACATTCAGCTTATTACATTGTCCAATTCTTAACTAGATAAAAAAATCTCATAAATTGTCTATGATCCGTGGATTTTATTTGTCTAACATTTTTCATATTTTAGATTTATTTGAGTGGAACCTTGAATGTTTATTAGGTCTTGATATGGTCCAAAAAAAATTACTTTAGAAAATTATATATAACTTGAAAACCCACTGTGAAGAATGTTTTATTTTTTACAATATGTGAAAAATAATTAAATATAACCGTTTAAATACATTTAACTTATAATTTATTTTCCGACTAGTCTAAACAAAGGGCTTTCTTAATCAAAGAAAATATCTTGCCCCATGGTAAAAACATTGGATCGTCAAACTAGCATTTGTGTATCTCACCACCGAAACAACAGTGGCGAACTAAAGGTAAAACATCGATACAATCATCAAATACGTCTTCTTGATATGCATTTAAATTATTTTTTTCCGAATGAAAAAAAGTAAAACATTTTCTTGAACTTTTAGGGAAAGATACATTCAACTTTGGTTGGTAAATTCTAAATTTATTATAAAGGCTATAGGGTCGCATCACTCTCATGCGTGTTAGATTAGGCTAAGGGGTATGGTTACCACCAGTCTACTCAAAAAGTGAAGTCACGTCAGCACCACATCACCTTCACTACTAACCTACTGTCAATCCACTAACCCTTAGAAATAGTTACCACTCCACAATATATTTTTTTTCTTTTTTATATGAATTATATTAAATTAAATTAAAAAATAATTCAAATACAACACACAATAGAATCATTAAATTAAAAAAGATTGCTTTAATTTTTAAACACACAACAATAAAAAAAAAATCCTAAATTACTTATTTTTCCTAAAATACTCAAAAAACTTCTTTTTCTCGATCTTGATTCACGTATAAATTCTGCACTTATGGTCCTAGTTAACCCAGAGAGACTCGAATTCCCGTTGGTAGCATAGAATTACAACAGCCCTGCCAAAACCCCGACAAAAAAAATCCTAAATTACTTGTTTATCCTAATTTACTTAAAAAAAAACACACACAACAACTAAAACATAAATATATAACCTAATCCGCATACTTAGCACGGACACGTTGTTGGATTTTGATAAATGTCGCGAGATTTTCGGGGTCGAGATCCGGTAGGGGCTTCGAGTTTATGATTTGAAGATCGGTAAGAGTGATTTTTTGGCAACAAGCTTCCTCCGTGGATTTGTATTTTTTTTTAGAAAACTTAAAGTTTTATCTATTTATTCCACAAGCCCGTCGTCGCTAGTTGGGGTTGCTTTCCCGCTTGAAGATGTCGGACGTTTTGTTTTGTCCCTTCCCGGTGGTCGACGGAGTTGGACTTCAGGTGGACCGTCTCCCTCGGCAACATCGACGTCATCATTGAGGTCTAACCCAAAACCCGTGTCCGATTCAGAAGTTCTTGCTCTTTTGTTGGAGCCGGTGGTCGAGTCCAAATGTGATGTCTCTGGATTAAGGACCCATTTTAGACCTTGACGGCAAACTTCCCATGCTTTTTGGTGACCAAATGGTTTACCGTTGTTGGTCACTTTGAATTGGTAGCACGCGGTTGATAAAATGTTGAAATCGTTGGAACCACTTTTATGCATATTTTTTAGATTTTCAAATATGTCATTAAACTTTGTGCAAATCGCACGAAGATCACGCCATTTCCCGTTGACCGCGTCGTAGGACCGATCCATTTTCCTTCCAAGTAGCGCGTGAAAATGATCCAAAACACAATACCAAAAACTTTCTCCAGTTTGCGCGTTGCCTCTTCTCGAATCACGGGATATGAAAATCCAAGCTTTTGCTAAAGCTTCTTCCTCTTCTTCATTCCAAGCCGTTGCTTTCTTTTTCCGTTTTCCTTTTGGTTGCCTTCTTCAGGATGATTGTGGTGTTTCTTGGACAAGTACATCGTCATTGTCGAGGTTCACGGTTTGGGATTGAGATAATGCGACTTGAGACGATTGAGTTTGGAATTGTGGAGAAGCTTATTGTTAGAAACCTTGGAATTGGGGAATGAATTGTTGTTGTGGTCATTGTTGTTGGAGGATTTGTGGGTTGTAGGGAAGGTTAGTGAATAAAGGTTGTTGTTGGATTGGAGAATTCAACAATTGCATATAAGCTTGATAATCATTAGGAGTGTTTGGGGTGTTTAGAGTGGGTGAAGTATTTTGGTTGGGATCCATTTTTTTGAAGAAAAGTGAAAGAAAGTAGAAGTATTTTTTTATTTGGAAGTGTAAAGTGTTGGTGAAAGTGTATTATATATATATATATATATATATATATATATATATATATATGTATATATATAGGTAATGTTGGATTAGTGTCTAAGTCCATAACTATTTTGGTATGTACTTGACCCGATGGTGCATGGTCCTTTTGGGTTGCCTTCACCAAAGCAACTTGATTGGAGAAATAAATAAAGAGAGAGAGGTTATTATGATTTATTAATATGTTATAAGAATAATATATTAAAGGAGAAATCATATTTGCTTAATTAATATTGGTCAATAATTAATTAGGAATTAATTTTGTGATCAAGTGTAATTAATTAAATTAGAGGGGCTGAATTGTAATTATGTGATAGTTACAAAATATGGTAATGGTTATCCTAAATATGGGTTGAACGAATTCAAGGAGATAAGGATCCTTGAAATCGTCCAAAGGATAAAGGATAAGGGTTTTCAAGGCTTATCTTATGGTTGCTTTGTGGATAAGCAACTAGATAAGGATAATGACTGAAACCCTATATCTACACCTATATAAAGACCCTAAGGCCTTAGAATTCGTGTACTTGTTCCCAAGAAGTCCTAAGGACGAATTCTAACCTCTCTCCTCTCTCTTTATACCTTCTCCATTTGCTCTTGGTGTTTGTAAGCCATTAGAGGAGTGACACTTGTGACTCTAAGCATTCCAATGTCAATCAAGGAGATTTGGGATTGTTATTGCTACATAACAATCAAGGTAACATTATAAACTCATTCTTATGTTAATATGATTATTTGTATGCTAGAATTAGGGTTTATAGTCTTGGATTCAAAGCATGTACAATAGAGAAACCTAGATCCAAGCATTAGGGTTTGTATGAGCACATAGGATGTCTTATGACCAAAACCCATCAGTGGTATCAGAGCCATTGGTTTGGTTTCAATTGTATGAACTTGATATATTAGGGTTTATTGCCAATAAACCCTAAAAGGCTAGGGTTTTTCGAGATTAGGGTTTGCAAACCCTAATTTGCAAGAGTTTGAATAAGATCTTCAAATCCTTTCCTTAAACCCTTAAATTTCGAAATCTAGGGTTTGTTATAATCCCTTGATTTTCGAAATTTGCCTCCTCCCCAAGATAAGGTCCTAATTTTTAGGGATTTGGATTATCCCATATCTTGTAATTATCCTCTAATTGTTATATATGGTAATTCAAGATCTTGCATTATCCATCCATATTTTCGAAATCTATATAGATATTTAAGGGATTAGGATAACTTAAATGTCTAAATGGTAATTATCCTCATTATTTAGATAATCCCTTATGATTTAATAATTAAATTAATAGTCTAATTCAAGATAATTATTAAATCAAGAGTTTTAATATTTAAAATTTTAATTTAAATGTCATAAATTCGAAATTTTAAGATAGATTAAAACTAAATTGTTTTGAAATGTTTCAAAACTTGCCCTCAAGTTTTGGAATTTAAAAGTTGATTAAAAGTTTAATTAGGAATGTTAAATTCTAAAACCCTAGTATGTTTTGAAAAGTTCAAATACACCCTTATGGTTTTATTAATTAATTAAGGTGTATAATTAAAAGAGATTTAATAAATCCATAAAAGTTTAGGTTAACCATTTAATTGAATTAAAAGTGTAATTGTTAAAGTTAACCACCTAACATTTTAAAAGTGTAAAATGCACCCTATACTATATATAACATTAAAAGTCTAACATTATATATATGTATGAGTAAAAGTCAGTCTTACCGTTAGTAGGCCTCATTCACGAAGCTGGTCTATAAGGGGTGTTTAAGGAAATTGCCTATAAAATGGCGATTGAATGGGTATCCACTCTTACCCACCGCACTCTTGACTAGTGGAGGGTCGTTAGCCGAACGGGTAGGATAGGACGAAACCTTCCATTATAAGTATAATGAAATACAAAGTAACTAAATGTTTTTCTAATTCCCAATCTTAGTTACTTAGGCAAAAGTGAATTGATGCAATTCCATGAAATTACACTTTGTGCCCTTGCGAAGACGTTAGTGGAGCGTGTGTGGTTTACCGGCACACTAAATGGTTCTAAGCAAAGGTAGCAAAGGGTGACTCAATGTTTTCATAGTTCGGTGGAGCGTGTGTGGTTTACCGGCACATCGAATAGGTGACTGTAACATGTGAGGGCACCATGTAAGTTTGCATGGTTATTCACACCCGCTTTGTGATCCTCGGCATCCCAGTCACAAACAAGAGGGGCATATCGAGATTTAAACATGCCATTGAAAGTTCAATGAATCTCAAAGGATCTAGGAGTTTTCATAGATTTAAAACTTAAATTTCTTTTTCGTTTTTCGTGGTGGAAATTAGTGAATCGTCATTCACTTACCTTCAAATATTCTGCAATAGTTACGGCATCCCTCTCCGAGTTGTAGAATATTGTGTTGGGTCCTAGCCTTAGTATTCATTTGGGTGATTTACTAAGGACTCAATCTATCAACTAACTTGAATTTTTTTCTCCCGTTTTGTAGATGTCAAAGTTCGACAATCATGGTCTTCCCAAATCCCGTGGAACAAGCATTCCACATGAAGATGATATTCCACGATTCGATCGAGGAACAAGAAATCATGCTTCACTTCCTCTC